CCATTGCACCGGTCGCCGTGAGTACCGGTTTTAAAGTGCACATGGAATCAGCACATGGACATGCAGTTCTTACAAGGTGAGCCCAAAGCAACTTTGGTTACTTCCTCACCTGCTTGGGGCATGGAGACCGGGTAGGCCTTCACCTCTGGGTAAAGCTTGGCTGACACAATGCCTGTTCTGACGCAGACTCCGGGGGGACCTAAGGTCTTACAATCACTAAAGACAAACATAGTCTCAGGTCAATTATTGAAAGTATCCAGTCCAGTTTACAGATCAGTACTTCCATCTTTATTCAAATGTAAGACTTCTGGGAAGGAATCTTTCTCTTTCATCCCTCTTCCTCCCCCTGTTTGTTAACTGTGACCATGGGACCCTCCAGGGTTGAGTGCTCACAGGGAGGAGGTAACAGAATCAGAGAAAAGCTCTTACATGGCCATTTTAGTCAAAATATGGCTTCATGCTGTCTGCACTGACAGGTACTTAAAGCAAACCCTTTCTCGTCACAGGGTATATAAATGTCTAATCACTCTATGTTATACACCTGAAACTAATATAATATTGTATGTCAACTATAATTGGAAAATAAGTTAATTTTAAAAAAGCTAATCCTTTCTCTTACCGACACCTGCAGGATTCCTCAGAGGGGTTCCTCCCCAGTGGCGTATTCTAGTTCTCCACGGATCCCACCTGACTCAGTCCTTGGTTTCCCAGAAGCCTTCTTGGTGCTCAAGATGTATCCCTCTCACATGTGGTTTTAAATTGTTCCAGCCCAGCTCTCTCACCCCCCAAGTGGCTCACACTAGGCCAAAAGAATATTCATGTAGCCTTTGTCCCAAGAAATCTAGGACTGAAGGTCAAGCCAAAAGCAGCAACAACGCTCCTCATTCGCTTCCAAAGCTACCTGCCAGCATCCCCTCAGCCTCTCTAGACTTTTCTGGAAGAGAGTCAGCCACCATTCCACTGTGTCCATCCTAACTCTAGTGCGGCCCCTGCTGAGTGCTCTGCAGGGCCACTGGTGAGCACCACAAAATCAAAATGAGACAGGTTTTCTGAACTTGCTCAGCTTTTTGAGGGAGGGAAGCATTTCTGACTTCAATTCTCCCTGAGAGACTCCCCTACAATTCATAATTTTACATCTTTATTTTTCTTTCCCATAACCCTTGGTCAGACATCTCTTTGGTGCCCACAAGCATGATCATAAATTATCCACATGTTACTTTACTGGGGTTTTACCACAGACTGCTCCATACAGTTGTGGGGTAACATGCACAATCACTTAAATAGGAATTCAACTATTATGTTCAACAATAATGTTTAAAACATGCAAGCCCTACCCATTGAAATCATTCTTTGGTAATCTTGCTGTGTACATCCAAACTAGAGGATGTTGAGATTTTTATGTCACCAGTAGTCACCATTTTAATTATATGCAAAAACCAGATAACAAATAACATTTCTGATCCAACTTTGCTTATGCTAAATAGCTGTAATGACATATCAGGGGGAGTATTCTTTATAATAAAATGGCAAGTGTCCTAATATGCTAAGTGTCTGGTCATCTGTTCAACCAAAGGTTAATATGCTAATGATATGCTAAGGCTGCTCAACCACCAGGGGGCAGACATTCCAACCAGTAGGTTAGCTTGCTGCTGGGGTCTGGCTGATTGGTTACTGAGCAAGACGGGCCAGACATGCACTGACCACCAGGGGGCAGCTCCTGCATTGAGCGTCTGCCCCCTGGTGGTCAGTACACTCCCACAGGGGGAGCGCTGCTCAGCTAGAAGCTGGGCTCACAGCTGGTGAGCGCAGCAGGATTGGCAGGAGCCTCTCCTGCCTCCTGGCAGTGCGAAGGATGCCTGACTGAAGGCTTAGGGAGCGGGCCTAAGCTGTCAATCGGACATCCCCCGAGGCCTCTCAGACTGCGAGAGGGCACAGGCTGGGCTGAGGGACCCACTCCTCCCCCCAGTGCACAAATTTCATGCACTGGGCCTCTAGTAAATAAATAATTTTTAAAATTTCTGTTTGCCAATGTTTGCTGATAGTTTTATAGCTTTGCATGTGAAGAATTTTAAACAGAAAGATCAAAGTCCATTATAAAGGAGGTTTGGGGGTTTTTTGGTGGTTTTTTTTTGTTTTCTTAAAATTTAGACCATCCTTTGGAAACCACAGGATGTATAAAAATACATGTAGTACTCACAACAGGCTGAGACAGAAAGTACAAAGATGAGTACAACTTGTATGAACAATACTGTTGGTAAGACTGGTTATGTGGGTCAGTATAATTAAAATGGTCAAGGTGACATGGAATTACTCTGAAAGAAGTCATGAGAATTCCTAAAAGAAGAAGCAGTTTCCTGAACTGGCCGTGTCAGAACCATCTGGAACAATAATTCCCCCAAGTAAACCAGACCGAGGTGGCCACTAGTCTGCACAATGTCCAATCTTTGCTTCTTCTCAGTAGCAGAATCCTGATTTTATTGGTGCAGTGTATCCAAATAAAAGCAACATTTCCCAGCTTCTTTTGCAAACTGGTATGACCATGTGACTAATTCTGGTTGGTGAATAGAGCTAGAAATATTGTATATTATTTCTGAGAATGCTCCTTTAAGAGGGGTGAAGAACTGAGTGTGAATTTTTTGTTTTTCTACACAACCCTCCTTAACTACATAGAATTTGGACTCTACAGCTGGATCCCTCCAGCAAACATCTTAGAACATGAAGTAATCTTGAAGCCAGAAGCCCTAGATGACAGATCAAAGAAGCCCGGGTTCCCAGTGCCTCCAGCCCTGCACTGTTTCTGCCACACTTCCTCTATAGGAAGGAAAGTGAACCTGACATGTTTAAGTGCCTGCTATTACACACCATCAAATCCCAAACACAGTGATCCTGGCATTTTCTTGGCCTTCCCAGATTCCAACAAATTCTCTTCATTTTCACACAACTATAACAACCTCAACAATGCCACCTGGTTGCTAGTGATTGTAACATGTCGCTTGGAAATGTTAAAATCTGGGGAAAATGCCTGTCTTAGAATGAATAGAGCAGGTATTTGGAGTTTTCGGTTTATCGTGTCGCCTTAGCTTCCCTGAAATGTTACTAGTAACATCACTGATTATGAGACATGGAGAAGTTGGGGACCTCCAGTATAGGAAGTTATATGACCATGAGTGGATGCTTTTTGTATACTCAGCACAGGAAGGAAGCTAAGGGAAATGTGATCTAACACGGTTGCCAACCACAGCTGGGGCAAGGCAGCGTGTCAGTGAAACAGTAGCTATAGCAACATCAGTGTTAGAGAATTTATGTATTATTGAGTTAAGAATCTCTTGCACTGTAATGGAGCTTAACCAAACAAAGCACCTGGAAATTATGGTAGCCGACTGATAAACATCAAAGAAAGGCCCAAAGGAAGACAACTCCAATCAGAGGATGGAGGAGAGACGGGCAGGTAACGTTCTGCTGGCTCAGGCCATCAGTAATTGGCCCTGTTAAAATACCTATGTTAACTATCCACACATAACTTACACTGGCAAAGGAAAGGAAATAATGTTCTAATAAAAGGGAATCTGAATAAATATTGGCATTAGAACAAGGAAATGGTTCTGGAAACTTCTAATGAGTTATTATTGATATTATATATTTTCTACCAGGTAAAATGAAATACTAAATAGCCTATAGAAACCAGTTAAGGTAGATTGAATCCTTTTGTTCTCACTCTCCCCCTGTACTAGAATTACGCACCTATGTCCTTTGCCACATGACTTTGCACCTCTTTTTATAGCAGCCCAGCCCAGAAGACCCCCAGCCTGAAGCTGAGCTGAGCCACCCAGCAATAGCCCAGGCTGGATCAGCTGACCTCCAATCCACAAACCTGTGAGCATGAGAATAGCCTGGTATGAGCTCCAATTCTGCAGGTAATAAGAGGTCTTCTTTGTTATGAATGTGTGTCTTCCCCCTGGTCCATATGTTGAACTCCTAACCCCAAAGACGATGATATTAGGTGGAGGCTTCGGGAAGTGCTTAGGTCATTAGGTGGCGCCCTCATGAGTAGGATTGGTGCTCTTACAAAAAGGTTCTAGAGAGATTCCTTGCCCCTTCCACCACATGAGGATACATTGAAAAGGCACCATCTATGAATCGGAAAACAGGCTCTCACCAGACACCAAATGTGCTGGTGCCTTGATCTTGAACTTCCACCCTTCACAGCTGTGAGAAATGAATATCTGTTGTTTATAAGCTACTCCGTCTGGTATTTTTGTATAGCAGCCTGAACAGGCTAAGACAAGATATGATACAATACTCAAAAAAATGCCAGCAATTTCTGGGCATTTTTAAAAATTTAACAATACAAAACTAAAAGTATGTAACCCAATATATCATGCACTGGAATCATTTTTAGTTTGTCATAGCATCATTAAACTCTAAAGATTAGAGAATGTTCAACTGAATGCTTCAGTATATATGTTGACTGATAGGGTTATACTTTGTCAAATAGGTATCTTGGATAATATAAATTTAATCATGGCTATCCATTTCCTACCTATTGGAGACAACACACATAGTCTTCAATAAGTAGCAATTTTCTTTTTGCTTCTGGTCCCTTCATGCTGTATTGCCTGTGTTCAACTCATAGTTGAGGAAAATGGCCAGAAGGTCAACACATGGAGAAGATAACATGAAGCACCCAGACAGTCCATATATACAATGATCTATTGTTTTAATATCATGTGTGAATAGTTTCTTAACCCAGACATACAATCTGTGCTTTGAAAAGGTAAGATTATTTCTTAAAATTTTGTAAACAGATGACATGATAAAAATAGATTCTATGCCTACTGCTTTGAATGAAGAGTTACTAATCTTTATCATTTTTTTGCTGAATGTCCTTGAAAGAAACATGTCACCAACTTCCTATTTACCTATCTCCCCCATAATACCCAGTATATGAAAGTCACTCAAAAAAGATACATACTAAAATTCATAATGAATGACACAATACATGGTTTCAAAGGTGTTTACTATTTGGTCAAACAATATTTTTAATTGTCAGTCATAAAGTGAAATGTATATTCACATACATGTTAAACACCCATCAGACCTGCATTATTGCTATGAGACACCATTTTATATTCTGTGGGAAAATGCAATTCCTGAGGTCATTATTGGCTTTTATAAATCATTTTCTTCACCGTTAGATCATCTTTCCTTAAGTGACTTGGGAGTGTGAATTGGGGTCAGGATGTCAATTTCAGACCAACTTTCTATGCCTACTAAATGAGAAAACAGGCTCTATCTTTTATAAAAGGTAGAAAAATAACCATGATGTGCAGAATTTTTTTCCAACATATACCATACAGGAAAAATGTAGAATGAACACAAAAAAAAAGTCTTTTCTGAATGATCTCAATCCCATAAGGAACGTATGTTTTCCAGATAATCAGTCCTCAATGTACAGCAGTCCAGCTGTTGTTTTGCATTTATTTAAAATATCCTTTGCTAAATAATTGTGTTCATCTTTAAAAGAAAATTACTTAAAATTACATTCAATTTTTTTTTCTGAAAACCAACATAAAGCAAGGACATTATACACGAAAACTGAGCCATCAGTTACCAGCTTTGCAGACTCTTTTTGTTTGGTGCAACCACAACCTAAGTCATACAAAGCAATTCCTACTTTTTGTGAAATCTGGTAGAGTTTACACTTAGAGATAAGTATCAGATACGGTCTAAATTTACTAAGGCTAGCAAAGCTTTATTGATTTCATAATGTATATTGTATGGTTTTCAAAACAATCCTATGAATGCCTCACTAAAGTATGACACAACAAAAGCTGTGAGCAATACTTCATTCCTGGGTTCAGGAAGGCCTGGGAATCATTTGTATCTGTGTTGTATACGTTTTGATAGCCTTCCACATTTTTATGTACTTGCTCGTGAAAGTACTAGAACAAATCAATTTAAAAGAACACCACTCTGAAACCTCTTGAATTCTTGCTCCTACCCAGAGGTTTAAAAGCTCCTAGCACCTAGCTTGCATTCTCCTCTGGGTTTTTGGTGTCTAAGTGACTATACACTGCATGTTTCTTGCTTTGTGATGATTTTCTAATATGTATGATACATGAAAAAGTATTTCCCAAAGATCTTGCATTCAAGGCTTTTCAGACTCGAACTATAATCTTTTGAAACATTTTTAATAACAAATAATAGCCTATTTCCCAGATCTGAAAGCAATAGCTAGTTTTCTTGACCTACAGTTGAAAAAAAAATTATCTTTTAACTAAAGAGGATCAGCTTAAAATCCCTCTGGAGATGTTTTTATTTATTAAATGCCTTCATTACAACACCATCTTTCATCTCCTGCTACCCCAATTCAATTTCTCCTGCATACAGAGTAATGAGCAGGATGGCTGTGAACCCCGTTAACATTCCAGCGTTCTGAATCATGAAGAAGGTGAAGTCGGTCTTTCTGCCAGTTACCTTTTCTCTCAGCATGTCGTTCATCTCTGGAAACTAGAAGAGAGATATATTGTTAGATGACTGTCGCCATCTTGTGGTAAAACATAAACTAGTCATTTATAGACTTCTGAAATAACCATTTATTTCAGATGTTTTGATGTTTTAGGAATATCTAGCTCTATTAAATATCAAAAAAATAAATAAAAGTACTAAAATAGTGTTCCTCAGTGAGTTAATTAGTTAACCAGTGAAATGGGGTTTACCTCATTTAATTCTCTCTCTCTCTCTCTCTCTCTCTACCCCATCACAACATTCTTTCAGGGCCTCAAACACATGGAGCCTCTTTCCTCCCTCAAATCTTCACACCTGCTAAAATTTTTACTGAACTTTTTCACCTCCAGTTTTCCAATGAGCTAAATCCTTCAGGTTTCAACTTAAATCATACTTTCTTAGAAAGGCTTCTCTTAGCCCCTTCTAACTTACATTAGGTTCCTTTACTTTCATTTCTCAGAAATATTGCTTTATCTTTTATTTCACATATTTTTTATGTGCAATTACTTAGTCATGTGTGTGGTTTTTGTTTCTTTGTTGAACTTTAGCTTCTCCTCTTTGTACACAGGAAGCCCCATGAGTGAGGGGACGGTGCCGCTTGTCCACACCAGCATGCCCAGTGGCTTATCAATTTCCAGGCCTGGTGGCTGAATAAATCCTTTTTTAGTAATCACTATACATTTCATCCCTGTTCTTTTCAATTTGTGTATTTTTGCTGGCTCTGCCCCTCACAAAATTACAAGGTTTTTAAGTAAATTATGCACTGCTCTAGGATTGAAGACTACAACAGTCTCATTATAGTGAAAGCAATTAAATCCCCAAGTTCTGTACTTAAGATCTACTCTTTCTCAGCAGGTAACTTCTACTGAAAAGGCTCCATGTGGAGATCAGCGAATGTCACTCCTAAAAACATATTCCGAAATGCTTGCTGTGTGTGCAGTGGTGCATTGTACCAGCATTCAAGAGGTCCCCTCAGTCAGTCATGTGCCTGATTTAAGAAAATCGGTACGAGGATAAAATGGGTGAAACCATTCTGAAAAGAATGAAACTGCTGTGAGTATATACAGCATCATTTATCAGTATTATTTCTGCAAACTAAACACTCTAATAGAGTCTGTTCTTATATCAGAGAAAGGAGAAGTGATGACCTAGTATCAATAGAATAGGAAACACTAATTCTGTGAAGAAAACTGTAAATGCAGTGATGGCTCTAAAGGATGGAATCCTTGCTCTTATAAGGGGCTGAACAGCACAGCCAACAGGGCTCAGCAGTGATCATTTGAAGCTAAGAATGCAGATGAAGGAATTTAAATTATTAAATTATGTCTGTAATTTAAAACATTCAGTTCCAAATGCAAAGGAAATAAGCCTTGATTTGCATACACTTAGCACCTCTTCATTTTCTAAAAAGCTGTACATGATTCATGTGAAAATGCACAGGACTATTTATATTCTCTCTCTTACACACACACACACACACACACACACACACACACAAATAAATAAATACACAAGACACAGCCATAGGTATAAATATAGATATAAGTATAGACTGACCCAAGTACATATTGTCTACCTTTAATTTACCAGTTTCAGTTTCACCCAAAAGGTTCTCACTGTTAGAACTTTGAAATAACAAAATTCTATTTACAAAACTAGTTAGTCCTCTTCCAATGTGAGATCCTCACAACAGAGAAGGAAAAAACCCTAAGGGACATACACTAATAGAATACAAGGTTCATCCACCCCAAGGCAAAACCTTGGGAAAATATCTCTGCTTCAGCAAAAATAATTCATTTCCTCTTCTAGCAATAAGATCATAACTTAAAGAATCACCCTGTCAACATGGCTCACTGGTTACACATCAACTTAGGAACCAGGAGTCACAGTTCGATTCCCTTCCCGGTCAGGGCACATGCCCGGGTTGCAGGCTCGATCCCGGGTGTGGGGTGTGCAAGAGGCACCCAATCAATGATTCTCTCATCACTGATGTTTCTATCTCCCTCTCCCTCTCTCTTCCTCTCTGAGATCAATAAAAATATATTTTAAAAAAGGAATCAATGAGAATCCCTTTCAAATTACTATTCAAAGAGTTATCTGCTAAACCAGGAATGTCTTAAATTACAACAAAAAGAATTTCCTTTCACTCTTAGTCAAATTATAACCCAGATGTTTATTCATAAATTTTAAACTAAAACAAGATAAAAATTTAAAATTTCTTACCATGTCTGCCAGAGAAATATACAGGAACATGCCTCCAGCAAGTGCGAATATAATATTTGGAGCAAAGTTGTTGCCCACCAAAATGCCAAAAGCTAACCCAACATAACAGGAACACGCCGAAAGGAAATTGAATAACAAGGCTTGTCGGGTGCTCATTCCTGCATTGAGTAGGATCACAAAGTCCCCTAGAAGAAGAAGAAAATATCAAGTTATTTTTTCAATTTGGGATGAGATAAAAGATAATGTCTCACAAGGGCTTCTTTACTTTGATGCCATCAGCAGGGCTTTCCAGTGTGTCACCTGAAATGTCTCATTCCACTGAAAAGCCAAGAAGGAACGGACTTTCCCAGCCTGAGCAGAGCCCTTACCTAGCTCGTGAGGAAACTCCTCGCACAGGATTGCTATAGAGGTGCTGAGCCCCTGGAGAAGAGACAAGGTGCAGGAAGCCCCAATCGCCAGGCCGTCGATGAAATTGTGGAGGGCGTCACTGAGCGTTATCATCCAGGCGATGGTCCCTATCTCCGACAGTTTGGGCCCCTTCAAGCAGGTGCATGAGCTTGGCTCCTTTTTCTCATCCTGTAAAACGGCAGAAAAATCAATCAGCAGAAAAAAAAACATTTCTTGAAAGTGTAAGAAATATAGAGAAGTAGGAGATGTGTTATGTCTTGAGGGAGACAAAAGGTTACAACAGAAAGGCTTTCATGGTGGATGGGAACCCCTCACCATTTGTAACAGAGAAAAGAAAACTTACGGTAGGGAAAGGGGGAATGAATAGATGGGCAGGCCTTGAACAAGCCACTTAAAAGACATTTTATTTTACTTTCCCCTTAAAACAATCCTTTGATTTACATGAATAAATTCCTACCACTGCCTTCCTGAAATGTAACAGCTATTAATCTATGAATTTGATTTATTCACATACTTTGAAAAAAATTTTTAAAGGTTAAATTTAAAGTCTTTTGCATGTTACTATTTAAGTGTGAAATCCATGTTTAAAGCATGATGGCATCAAAGAACGTTTACTCTAGTCACTCCTGCACCACTATGTGACTGTGAGCAAGTGATCTGGGCCTCAGTTTCTTCAACTGTAAAGTGAGGAGAATGTATTAGATGATTCATTTATTTTTCCATGACTTATTAAATTTCCACCATCTTCTAGGTGCCATGCTAGGTGTCTAGGCTATACCAATGTGGTCCTACCAGCTCTAATTTCAACGATTCCCTTAACAAATTTCACAAAGTGTGATTGGAACAAGCTTGCCTTTGTACTAACACTACTTTCCATTTTGAAACAATTATAAAAATAGAAAATCTTACAATGAACCCTTTTTAAGAATTTACATTTTCATGAAATTTACAAAATGTATAAAATCAAATGTCAAATGCCAACTAAAGCATTTTCCAGAAATTGGGGGGGGGGGAGATAATGTCATGCAAATACATTTTTAAGTAGGGAAGCAATTTACAATTAACTTGAGAACATTTTATTCCTAATTCCCCTCCCCTCAACTCTACTTCAGCAGCTAATCAACATATTTATTGAACATCTGCAATTTGGAAAACAGTGTGCTGGATGTTACAGGAAATGCCTGGAAGCATAAAATTCAGCTTCTGTCTTCAAGGAGTGTATTTACCTTGGAGAAACACGACGTAAAGTACCTGACTGACTCTTTTTAAAAGGTGCACTCTATATCCAGCTGAGAGAGACTTCCTTCAGAGCAATCATCTGAAAGTTTTTACATTTACTCCAACATCACTTCCTTACGCAAAACACTTTGGGGACTGCGCTTTCAGAATTGACTAAGATCTTGCAATACATCTTTTCACTGTTTCCTTAGTGGCAAATATTCACCTTTGGGGGATGATTTTTGTTCGTAGACACAGCCAAAGTCATCTGGAGCCTATAAATTCTTAGATTTATATGGAAGGAGGGAGGATTGTTAGTACTAGTAATAGTAGAGGTAGTAGTAGCAGCCGTCTTCATGACAGCATTGGAAATAGTCATAGCAAAGCCCTATAGTTTTTTATTATGTGCCAGGTACTGTTTTAAGCACTTAGATAGTTAATTCCTTTAGGACAATTTATGAATTAAGCACAACTGTTATCATCATTTTATAGCTGAAGAAACTAAAGCACAGAAAGGTTAGTTAACTTACCCAGGGATACGAAGGAAGTAAGTGGGATATTTTTATTTTATTTTTTATTAACTATTTCACTACTCCAAAGGCCTGGAGGCAGAGGGGCGGGGACTTCTTGTTTGGAATAGGATCTGGAGGCAGTTCCCCAGGAGAACACCCCCTCCTCTTGAACACCTCTTCTAAACACTGGAAGCAGTGTTGGGGTAAGTGTTCACTCTCCTTTGGTTTTAAAAGGCAAAATCTCCTCAGCATAAAAAATTTTCATCTGGTCTTAAAATATATTCTTGTTACTTTATAGTGTTAAAAGACAAACTGAAGCAAATTAAAAATGTTAAAAAGAGTTTTTTTGAGCAAAAATCGATTCAGATAGGCCCCGTCAAACAGGAAGTGGTGAGGAGCGCTCCACTGACAGGAGCTCAGGGAGGGACCATTATAGAGATGAAGCGAAGCAAAGCAAGGAAATTGTTGATTGGCTGTAGCTTCCACCCAGCTGGCTGTTTGTGACTGATTGCCCTTGGGTTTCCATTTCGTACCTTTCAGGCATTTACAGGCTTAGATTTGAGTTTGCTTCCATAGGCCACCATGGCATTAGAGCCACCTCAGACAACGGCCTCCTGGTTTAATTAATTTAACCATTGATGTATCTTAAACGCACAAAAATATACACAATTATGATTTAGTGCATGGCTTGGAATAAATTGGGGAAGCACTTACTGCCAACAGAAAAACAAAGCTGGTCATGAGGAAAACCCTAGAGGAAGAGACCTTGGCTTTACAAAAACTTACTGCCAAGATACACATACTAAGAACAGTTGTTTTAATCTTCCAGCTTGGTTTACCTAATAAAATATTTATGATTTTTAAAATTTTCTTTTATTTTTTTATTTTTCAATTACAGTTTTAAATGTCTTTATTTACCTAAATGGTTTAGGGAAAAGAATACAAGACCAAGTCTTGAATGCCTGATATTACATAATATATACAAACTCTGTGTGCAAACTCCTTTAATTCTGAAAAAGAAATTAAATTAATATATTAGACATGATAATTTTACCTCTAAGTACAGTTATTATTGAATCTATTTATTATACTCCCTTTTAGCTCTATAAGCTCAAGTCTCCAATGGCACTGTTAGGTAGGTTAACAGTTACACATTTTTAATAGCTTTGGAATAAACAAAAGTAGGCAAACATTCACCAAAAAAGTCTTTTTTAATTTGCCTATAACTGAGCAGAGAGAACACTAAATTCAAGTCCTTCTAATTAAGTTAGTGACTATTCTTCTCTTTTTCTTTTTGATTTCTGTTTGCTGTTGTTATTGTTTGCTTGCTTGCTTCTTTGTTTAACTTGTACACTAAATGTAAGGCTATGTTCATCCTCAGCCATGATGAGACAACTCAATCTAATGGAAAAAAAAAACAGAGGTCTGAAATCCAGAACTGAATTCTAGCTTGGTTCTGACGAGAATTACTGTGTAATCATCAGCAAAGTTCTTAACATCTCTCACCTTAGTTATTAATGGAAATGAAAGTCAAGGCAAATTATTGAATAATCAGAATGAGGAGGGAAAAAATATCATGGACTGAAATTATAAAGTAGAGGAGAGACTAAATAGAAACCCAACATAAATATGGAGGAAGAAGCAAAAAGTAAAAGCAAGAAAAACTACAAAGAAATTAAAATGAAGAAAACAAGTGGGCTTACTACAGAACAGTTAAAGTTGAAGCAAGGAAGAGGAAGGTCTAAAAGAGAAAGAGCTGCATGAGGTGGGGGGAGGAGGCAGAAGAGAAATGGAAGGAGGAGAAAGATAGAAAGGATGAAGAAAAGGAGAATAAAAATAAGGAGGTAGAGAAGAATGAGAAGGAGGGAGAGAAAGATGAGGAAAGAAAAGGAAAGCACGTGGCTATCCTTCAGTAGAATATAGATCAGGGGTCCTCAAACTACGGCCCATGGGCCACATGCAAATACAAATATTGTATTTGTTCCCGTTTTGTTTTTTTACTTCAAAATAAGATATGTGCAGTGTGCATAGGAATTTGTTCATAGTTTATTTTTAAACTATAGTCCGGCCCTCCAACGGTCTGAGGGACAGTGAACTGGCCCCCTGTTTAAAAAGTTTGAGGACCCCTGATATAGATTATAAAAATATGGCTTATATCTGCAATGAAATAGTATGCAGAGTAATAGAGATGGTGAATAACTATACATTTCCACATGTAAAGATGTCCAAAACATAGTGCCAAGGTAAAATAAAATGATAAAACAGCATGTCTATTGGGTACCTTTTTGTAAAAATAATAATTATTATCCTATATAATAAAACCCTAACATGCAAATCGACCAAAGAATGGAACAACTGGTCACTATGATGCGCACTGACCACCAGGGGGCAGACACTCAATGCAGGAGCTGCCCCCTGGTGGTCAATGGGCTCCCACAGGGGGAGCACTGCTCAGCCAGAAGCCGGGCTCATGGACAGTGAGAGGGCACAGGCTGGGCTGAGGGACCCCTTGCCCCCCAGTGCATGAATGTCGTGCACTGGGCCTCTAGTAATTTTATAATGGTCTCAGGGACAATATATTTGGAATGAAGCATACAAAAATGCTAAGCATGGTTCTCCCTGGGAGATAGTACTATGAATAATCCTTGTTTGTGTGTGGTTTTATATTTTATGGGTGTCCTGGATTTTTTTTTTGCACTTATGATATATTATATATTATTTTAATACTCAGAACACAAAACATTAAAGCCATGGGGTAAGAATCAGCAAGAGGAAAAATGAATTTGTGATGACTCAGGAGTTATTATCAGCAACAAACAAGGTAAAGCTGGAGAAGCAGGCTGCCTGTGGGCTTGATCTGAATTGAAAAGAGGATGTATTATGTAACTTTTTTGTAGGGTTAATGGTTGCAAGTTCAGCACGATCACAATCAGACCTCATCTGCATTGGGGGAGGCAAGATGAGTCATTATTAATGAAAATGTTTTTATGGTTTATTGTCTATAAGTTTTATCAATAAGAAGATAAAAGCAAACAAACATTACAGGTAAATATTAAATTCCCAATTCCATATTCCATGCTGAAAGAATTTTGCAGAGTAAGAGCTCTGAAAAAAAAAAGAGAAAAACAAGCCAAAAATCAAAGTAGCACCCACCAAAAAACACAATGAAGATGGCAAAAAGAAGTATAAATGACAACAAAAGATGAAAGTTATATGCAAAAAAAAAAAACAACCCATAAAATGTATGCCTGTGAAGGATAACCTAATGAAACATAAGTACAAATAACATAATATCATTTTAAGAATCTGCAAATAAAGATAGATAGGTGAGATTTAAGGAAAGGAGCACGGAATGCAAGATAGCTTAATGATTAAAGGGTATGTATGTGCCTTGGTATAAAATGGGTGTGAGTTTGAGTATTGGCTCTGCTACTTAAT